TCTGTCCAGAATGTTTTTTGTTTATTTTCGTACAGTTGACATCAATAATCAGTCATTGGGCTCGATTAACAGTAATACAAAAAGCAAGATGAAAGTAAGTATCCACTTGTGGAATTTGTGAACACTTTCTTGCCAATTTTCAAAATTAAATTTGTTGTGTCCCGTCTTCTTTAAATTGGAATCTAACCATATCCTCTTCAATAACACTCATACATTAAGCATTATGTATGTTCACATCACAATTGATATACAGTTATACAGTATATCAACAAATTGCTCAAGCAATGTATGCATGCATCTAGCACGCGTGAATATCATTAACAACCCGAAAGTACAATCATAAAGTAAGTTGGGAAATAGCCATCCAAACAGAAATGAAAAATTATGTGATTGTTAGATAGTTTACTATTTGCCCATCAGTAAAATATGAAGTAACTAATGCGCATGCTCACTCCTGACCAATAAAACAAAACGAAATACGAGAATTGCAGTCGCACCATATCCATTACATACTCAGCCGCAATTGTGTCACGAATCCGGGGAAAATTTATTTCGTTTATACTGTATTTTCATCCAAGACTCTCTTAAAAATAAATTTACTTAAATATAAATTTACATAACATGCAGATAGATTTGCATGTAAATTTTGACCGGGTTGTCATAGTGATATTGACATACAAAGAACTAAACGTTACTCTAGAACACTCAGCGAGATATCGGCGGCCATTTCCAAATAAGGTCTGTTCTTAGTTAGAGAAAGGTCATATCCTCTGGGCGGAGCTACGTCACAGAACGTTATATATTGCCAAGACACACACCACTGTATCATATAATTAAATAAGGTTAATAAAGTTGAGAAATTAAATAAGGTTAATAAATTTGAGAAAACAGCACAAATTCAACTTTGAAGTAATTCTGGGCACCTGAATTTATATATTTTGCACATGTAGGGTTGAACTTGTTACACTGTTTAGTAGAGTCTCAACAACTATTCGAAGTACAGTTTTCTGGGAGTTCCGGCCTTTATTTTCACCATGATGGTACCAGGTGGTGAACATACCCGGATGCCCGCTTCGAAGGTAGATGGATTTTTACATGCAAAGAACTCAGAAACAGAAGAAACAAAAACATTTGCAGTTGCGCAAAATGTTCTCACTCACAACCAAGGCCATATTGCTCAATAAGCTGTACTAGATAGTTATTTTCTTCCTTACTTCTGATCTTTGCCAAATGCGCTTCAATGTCATGACAACTAACATTAGCTTGGTTACATGGAAGAGGTTCAATACGCAATTCAAATCTTCTGCGAGCTAAATGTTGTCACATAATAAATAGATATTGGTTTAGTTTCACAACGTTTCACACTTATAAGAGGATTAGTTCAATGTATGGTGGAAATAGATCTCCTAGAAACAGTCAGATTAGCCAAAGACACATATAATCGTTTAAACAATCATTTAAACGTATGGCAACATAATCTGAGTAACACACACTTAGATTACCTGGTGCATATACCTCCACCTCGCAGAGTGAGAGAAAGTTTGTAGTTTCCTTTAGCATAACAGTTACATATCTTCCTCTCGTTCCCATTCCACAGGTAAACTCAACAGTTTCCTGCCAAGCACTTTGTGCATCCACAATATC